TTAGTTCTCATCAACCCCTCCACCTCCCTCAACTTCTTGCAATTAATTTTTTTACGAATCAAATGATTAATCAAAATATCCTGCTCTGCTAAACCCCAAACTGACCTACTCCCTTTCCACACCTCCCCCATATCAACAATTCCATCGTATTCATCCTCATCTAACACCTCAGTTTCTACAACTCCATCCACCTCCTCATTTCCAACATTCTCCACCTCCACTTCTACCTCCAATTCCTCTTCACCCTCACCCTCACCCTCACCCTCACCCTCACCCTCACCCTCACCCTCACCCTCACCCTCACCCTCACCTTCCTCATCTTCCTCTTCATCACTGTCTTCCTCTTCATCACTGTCTTCATCACTGTTACCCGCCATCACTGCCTCTGCTACCATCTCTTCTTCTTCCTCTTCTTCCTCTTCTGTCTCGCCATAATTCTCCTTAAATGGATTTTTAAAAAATAAACTAATGTAACAAATTTTTACTATCAATAATAATAAAGCAATGTAATTACCTCATATACGTCTTCTAATATGTCATATATCTCCAACGGTTTAACTTTTTCAAACTGCAACATCTCTCTATATGTCTTTTTTAGCTTATTTACAAGAAAGCTAATCATTAGATCTTTATCACTGATTTAAAAATAAATAAAGTTAATCTTTTTTCTCTTTTAACTAGAGTGATGTTGAGTGGAAATAACCACCACCACCACCATTTGTAAAACACTTACTCAATTTGCCCTTCGACACGATTTTCTTCTCTGTTTCTTTTTGTGTTATTGCTTTTATTGGGTATTTTTACAAAAAAAAAATAAAAGAAGTTTGTGAATGATCGACGCGTATATTAAGGGTAGGCTCCATGTATACACAAACTGATGTAAATTATGCGGGATGTTGATCATTATCCTCAGGGTAAAAAAAAATTTTTTTTCCTAAAAAATTATATATATAATTTACTGTATATATATATATATATATATATATCGTCCATACTAATAGATAAATATACATTATATATTAAGTCTGGATATAAGCAAAGCATCCTTCATTTTTTTAAAATTTGTTTTAAAATTTGTATATATTTATTTATATTAAAATAAAAAATTATATCTTAATAAATAGAAATTTCTTCATTAACTTCCAAATATATCTTCAATTGTTATCATCTTGATCTAATTCCATGGATTGATACTTTTTCATTTTTTCAGATTTACTATATATATTAAAAATTCATACAGTTGGCTCTGGATATAGTGAACCTATTATATAGTGAATCATACTATATAATGAAGTTAGAAAAATTCCAATTTCATTATATACAAATTGCTCTTGATATAATGAATTTTAATATAAACTCTCTATATAAGTATATAATGAAGTTTGTCTTGATCCATCAATAGTAAAATAGATCTCCATATAATGAAGAAATTATTAAATTATGTCAATCATTCCTTTTAAAGGAAATAGTATTACTTTAGAATAATAATTAGTATTAGTATTAATATTAAATGAATGATTATAATAATAATAATGAAATTTCGCACAATATTTATGATTCAAAAAATCATCATGTAAAAAATCAACTAAATAAAAACTATTCATACAATCTTTACAGTCTAAAAATTACCTACGCAATAATGATTTAAAATTACCATCATGTAAAAAATTACGTAAATACTTAATTACATCATAAATGATTTCTTAGAAATAAATCGTAATACTTTAAATCTTTATATAAATAAAGGAACTTTCTCATTATAACAATAAAAGATTGTTTTTCCAGTATTTCTAGTAATGTCATCAATTGAACCATCGAAAATGAAAAGAAAAATTTTGACTTGGGGTG